TAAGTTAATTTTATTGAATAGGCATCATAGCTTCTCTCTGTTTCAAATAATGGAGAAGCCAATTCACACAGATTACAGAGCTATCAGTTACTTGTAGTAATCTTTCATAAAAGAAAGAAATTAAATACAATTCCGCTATAAAAAGTGCGACAGTTATAACTGGAAGTTTTCCGAAACGAAAGCAAGATTTACTACCTATTGCAAAAATTGGTTTAGTGCTTTAATACTTTACAAAGTAACAATCCAACTGCTAAAAACAGCTCTTACACGTCATCTTTGTCAAAGAATGGATCAGATTAAAAATAACAATTAAATTTAATCAGAATGAAAATTTTATGTGGAAAAGATTCTCGAGAACTCACACTTTCCACGGCAAAAAAAATATTCATTACCTTTAACATTATTCAATGCTCACATTTCTTCAGAACAATCAATTTAATGATTTGGGAAGCAGTTGAAAAATGATCATGTTTTATCTGTAGATGAAAGTGATGGCAACTAATTATATCACTGAACTACTGAAAGGGTAGGGAGAAGATCAATCAGCTTCTTTCACATGGGATGAACATTTAGATTAAAATTATCACATACAGAGAAACCTGGAAAGTCACCTCAACTTTAAATACATCTTTTATATACTTGTTTTATGTATAAATTTTTCATTCCAAAACAATCCTCTGCTAAACCCATAGAAATTGATAAATGACAATAATAAACTAAGATCAAACTTTGAAAAATGAGAATGATTATTTGAGTACAAAAAACTTAATTCTTGCCTTAGAAAAATTAATGCATCTTATGTCATTCCTGTGTTAGCACTTATTTAAACAGTGGTGGGTGCCAACTACAATCTTTCTTTAAAGGAGGGACTCTAGTATAAATATATTTACTCTACAGTTATAACAAGTTTTAAAAATTTGGAGTTTTTTAGGTTATGAGAAAGAGTTGCATCACCTGTCCTGATATTTAAGATTTTATGTTACCTAACTTTGGTTAAAATTGAAGAAAGTTTTTCAACTTGCCATTGAAAGGACTTCAGTGAGTCTAAGGGGTGGCAGCCAGTTTATTTCAATACTTGCACAATCAAACTGTTGCTTGCACATGTACACTGAACACAGAAAGCCAAATCTTCTCTACTCAGGAAGAACTCACAAAGATTTGAATTGCGATTTTTGCATTAAGGACAGAACTAAGATCTGTGTAGAGCAGAGCTTTCCAAACTGTGTGCTGCGACACATTAGTGTGTCGGCGGCAGTGTGTAGGTGTGTCGCGTGAAATGCAGAAAATTTTGCGGAAGGGCACCGCAGAGCTCCCTTACTCGCGTCTGCTTCCCTTGGCCCCTCCCCCGGAACTGAATTACTGTGTCGCGAAATTATGCATGTCTAAAAAGTGTGTCACCAACATGAAAAGTTTGGAAAGCTCTGGTGTAGAGGCTTAAAGAGAAAAAGAAAGAATGCTATCCACATGTAGGAAGATATGCAGGGAGTTCTGCTGGTAGGTCATGTAATAGTTGTTGATAATAAGGTGACCATATTAATTAGGTGTGTATAACTCTAATATACAATGTATTCATTAGAGGAGTATCCTAAAAGTCTTGCCCCTGCTTGAGATGCATCTGGCTTAAACCATAAAGACCCATGCAATAGAAAATGTACATCAAAGGTCAAGAATCCATGTAAACACTGTCTAGATTTTCAAAGCTTGATCTGTCCTTTCTATGAAGAATAATTACAATCACAAACATCAAGGAGGAGCAAGGAGGCTGTCTACAAAGAGTAAAGTCTTTCATTCATGCAACAGTCATTGTAGGGCACAATGAAATATGCATAACAGTTTTTTGCCACCAAAAAACAAACAGAAAACTGAAATGTAAAAACACAAAAGCTATATATGGCTTTAAAAACTGCTTCACAACAAAATGTCTACATTTAATTTATGGAAGCACAAGCATTCTCTGAATGTAACAGGAAGTTTACCAGGATGAATGATGGGTTGGGAAACAAAGGGAAAGATTTATTGCTCCCCTGGGGAAGAGTACAAACCTAATCTAGTTAATTGGGGCAAAGTCCTGTACAAACTGTTAATGTCAACATGGTATGAGACTCCAATTTGGAGCTCCTGTCTACTGAGGTCTGTGTGGCTAATTCCATTTGTTATTTAATTTAGGCTTAAATCCTATTTGTTCTCCTTGGCTTAGGCTGAATGAACTGCGTTTTGTATTGTGTGCATGCAAAGCTCTTTGAGAAGCTCGGAGGGAAAAGTGCTTTCTATACTCTATAAGCATGATATACATTTTACAAATGCTCCAGTACTCAGTCTTGAACAGATGATAAAACCACCCCATCACTATAGGGTTCTCAATATTAAAACATGAAGGCAGATAATAGCAATGTTGAGGGACAATGGTTACTTAACTACCCCTGCTTAGTCCTGCCCAATCTCAATGTTCTTAAAAGAGAGAGAGAGAGAATATCGGTCACGGGTTTTTTTGCCAGATCCCCTACGTATTTTAGTAAAAGTGAGGGAAAAAACCTTCTGAGTTACTTAACCTGGCATAACCTAAGTGCAGGCAGGTAGGGTTGTACAAGGCAGCATTCCACCAATACGGTCTTTAATATGGAGAGGCTGACAATCCCAGTGGGGGGTATCCATATTAAAGATGAGGGCAGCTTAGTCTTTTCTGTTTTGATCAAATTAAGCAGAGTGCTCAGATTCCTGGCAAACTGCCAACCCAGCCTTTGCTTAGGCAATGTTTGGGTGCCAATGATGTAAGCCTTCTAATTTGATTCTCCTGTACATTAGACAGGCGTGCAGGGCCACCTTCTCCTCCTGGCTGCAGCTGTGTAACCTCATCATTATGCTGATATCAAATGCATGTGTAATCAAGAGGAGAATTCAGGTCACTGACTGCTTTCTACTACAACAAAAAGCATTAAAAGGGTCAAACAAAAAGCAAACTTCATTATGAAATGGGGACATTTAGGTGCTGCTTTAGTACAAACCATTCTGCCATGCCTCTCCATTTCAGACACTACAGGTAAAGTGAATTTGTTTTGCTCTGGAAGGGGAATAAAATCAGTTTTTCTCCCTCAAAGAGCCTTTGCAAGGAATTCAAAGATTTGAACTTTTACATAAGTACAACGCTTGGCTGTTCATCTATGTTTTCTGAGTCTATGTGAAATGATCCACAAAACATCAGCTTAGGCAGACAATGGTTTTTCATATCAGGAACTATAGTCTCCTCAAAACATTTTGTTGCCATGGTTACTCTCTTACCCACCATTTACCTAATTGCTTTACTCCCTTTCCTGCTCCTTTTCATTAAGGTTTTCTGTCACATAGACACTTATCAAAGAATTGTAACTTTCAAGAACACTGTCTTTAAAAACTCCATGTGCTGCAAACAACCATACAAAGCAGACAGTTTTACAGCAAAACATAATTATGAAGGCTATAGCAGACTAGAGCAATTTACAGTCATGGTTAAATGAGGAGTTGGGGACAGAGGCTGCATCCAGTTAAGTGACTCTCAGTCCCCAGAGAGCCATAACTTTAAGGCTGTTTGGAACATGGTGGCTTTTACCTACGCCATATGTTCCACAGTGCAAATGCGCATCAGCCATTTAGATTCCCTTGGTACAGTACACACATTCAGGTAATGGGAAGTAAAACAGACTGATCAAAAACCAGCATGTTCATGCAAGAAAAACAAATTGTCATGATCATGCTTTGCAAGAAAAAACCCTAAAGACACGGTCCCCTAACAAGCCAAGGAATCCTAGCCCTAATAAGAAGATAGGTATTAAATGGACAATTATACTGTATTTCAGTACAAGGCAGGTTTCTCCATATCCAAGCAATCACTTTATAAATGATTGCAGTTATTTATATACAAACTGATAATCACTAAAGGTGAATATAATTTTCATTGATTCAAAAAAAAAAAAGAAAAAAAAAAAGGGGGGGGGGGGGGGGGCAGAGCTGTATAGAAACACCATGAATACAGGCTGGAAAAAATATTCACCTTTAGGCACCTAAGCTGACTTGATTTCCTGAAGTCATCAATGAAGTATAAACTCCCATTGAAGTCAATGTTCAGCACCTCTTAAAATCAGGCCACTCATTTTATTAGGCCAAATACATTTTCAGGGTCCTTATTTCAGGAGCTGAATTTTGAAAATTTTGGTTGCAATACATACAACTTCCTACATTTTAAAAACTGTTTGGAATTGTGATTTAGGTAATACATTAGTTACAGTCTTCTTTTTTTGTAAAGTTTCTCAGATATTGATATGTACGGCATGAAATACTATAAAGAAATAAAATCTGAATAATTTAAGCTGATATTCAAATGGAGTGTCAGTGTACATACATTGGAAAGCAATATATAATAAGATACAATTTACCAGTTAGAAGTTGACATCTCTACAATCTAGAGTGATTTTCTCCATGCATAGCTAATTATTACACTAGCTTTGAAATCTTGTTCTAATTTATTTGTTAGGAATAATAATTCATTAATACAATTTTTAAAAACCCAAATAAATCTAGTCTGGTAGATTCAAAATGAGTTATGAATCTCAGCTCAACAGTCTGTGCAGAAGGCTTTTTCATTTGGGAAGAAAAACCTCTAGGTAAATTTATGACACTGAAGCTCCTTATAAAAGAGGGCATGAGTTTAAGTCAAGAGAATGCAAGGGAAGGAGTAGTACTGTACCAAAATATATAAACACAAATTTAAAGCTTTTCAATAAAAAACATTTGTATATTCCAACTTTCAATAGACACTGGAGTGCACAACGGACAAAAAGCAGTCAATTTAGGAGAACATTTACAAAGCTTTCTTTTCATGATTAATGTCTACCAGTATTTCTGAAGTTAACCTATTAAAATGACAACCCTGTTTATAATAAAGGCGCAAAATACTGCTCTGTAGCATATTTTGAAAATAATATAAAAATAATTTCTATATTACAATTTAACTTGGCTTGTAAAATTCCAACATAATACAGCCTTAAATCTTCAAACAGAACACACTTACAAACACCTTTCTTTCTACTTTTGTTTTAACAATATACTGTTTTTAGTCATATATACAGGAAATTAATGTGCAAATTAAATTAAAAAATAGTATAGTTTACTGCAATAATTCAAAGTCTATGCTCTATACTATTTGGTGATACTCCATGAAAGTTGCCATCATTTGAAACAAATATACCTGTAAGTACACTGAAAGAGACTTAAAATGGACTATGCTGAAAAGCCTCTTACAATCAAGGTCAATTAGTTTCTGGGTTTTGGTCTATTTCCATCAGGATCTGAATGTTTAATGATGCATAAAATATTCTGAATGTTATGAAGACAATGATTCCTTATTCAAGATTGAGAGGTGTGCAAAGTCCTGTCCACTACTCCTCAGGCAAAATTCTCACAGGTTCCCTGGGAAACTCTGCCTAAGGAAGATGAGGAGGCATTTGATCTAAAGGGGCCAAATTTTAGACTTGATGCCACAGACATCAACATGTTTACCAATTGTCTGCACTGAAGCAGGCTCACTGATGTCAGGCAGACTATTACTGTGCATCATAAGGCTGAGGGTGTGTCTAACAGTTTGCAGGATTAGGGACATTAAGGACAATGTTCTGGCAGCCCAGCTTGCATACATTATTTGATATGAACACTTTCGGCACAAGAAGACTAAAACAAACCTGGATGCAATCACGCATTACAGATGAACAAAGGCTGCTGTTGTCCAAGCAGATTGTTCTGATCTCCATTCAGGCAGCTTGTCTCAGCAAGCAATTAATCAGCTTCAGGCTATGCTAAGTGGCCCCTCAACACTTCTTACATCATGAAAGGCTGCTGTCATCATGGAATTTTGTGCGTTTAAGGGAACTCCCAAGCCTTGACCTGGTCTAGAAAAAGTTCTTAATAAACACGCATCACAAAACATGCTTGAGGAAGAATCTCTTTTTAGAACATTTTTGCATGTTATCTTTTAAGTTAACATGGAAGAAGAGCCTATTACTTGTTAGAGAAAGCCTGATCACACTTTATATTGATAGTGCATTTATAAGCAGTTTATAAAGCTTAATACATTACTGATAATCAATGGTGAGTATATCCAACATACGTTACAATAATCTGTGACACTCTCCTCTGGATGGGCTTATTGCCTTGACAAAACAAGCTGCCTATCTCTGAAATGTCCTTATAACAGCCATTGCTCCTTTAGTAGCCCTTTATATGCTGCTTAGGAATGGAACTTCAATGCAAAGTGCGACTGAGACTTAGTATGAATTATAGGCTTTTTTTTTTTTTACCATGAACAGACCTTTGAATTGGAAAGAATTGATGAACAAGAGAAAACACTTGCCTAAGAAGTTTTTTGTTTAAAGAGTTTAGAGTAAAAGAAGTAGCTACATATTAAAAACATCTAAACAATACCTACTTCCTCTAACCTACATTTCTCCTATGAATACATTTTTGCATTTGCATGTAGCTTTTATTAAAAGTGGGGCTTTAACCCCTGAGAAGTGGATGATAACATATTTAAATAATATATTTTCTCTCTTTCAACACACACCTTTTCCCCACAAATACAACTTCTGGAAACTGGTGTGTGCCTTGAATGTGAGAAAGTAGAGTAAGAGCAATTTCTGCTGCTTATCAACATGGGCTCCAGGCAGCAGGCTCAGCTCCCTAGCTGCTGCTACTCAGTTACTGCAAGGAAAGATTTTTTTTTCCCCTTCATTCTGCCTTTCAAAAATAAGGTGTGCATCATATTCTGGGGCATGCTGTATGTGAGAAAATACAACATTCTCTCATGGCTTCAAGCTCCACATGTACACCACAATTTTCTCAAAACTGCAAGTTACATTTAAAAGAAGGCGCTCTCGCTTCAGGTAAAGAAATCATGGGCTGACCTGCAGACGTGCTGTATCATGGACAGAGAGCACAAAATTAAATCAGAAAGGTAAAATATCTCACTGGTAGCATAGCCACCATCAGCTAGCACCTGGGATTGAAGGGGAAACCTCCAGAAATCTAAACAGCCAAGAGCTATAACAGACATGTGCTTTCCTATGGATCGAGCACAGAGCGGGACACACGATACTCATCAACCTGGGACTTACACTTGTTCCAGGATCAGAGAGGGCAAAAGGGTTGACAAATATACTACTTATGCAAAAGAACAGCAAAAAATGAAGCCAGTGGGTATTCTCCCTATCTAATTCCTTGGTGTGTATTTTGTTTTATTGCTGATGGACATAAGCCACAAGCTGTATCCACCATAATGTTTGTAATATTGACTCTATGCTATAAGCTCAATAGAGCAGGCACTATATTTAATTGTTTGGACTGTATAGTGCCAAACACAGTGTCTGTGTTAAATAAATCATAGAAGTGAATGGGATACAGTCTGATTTCTGTTCAGGAATAAGGAAGGCAAAACTGAGGGGACACAAATGGATTAAAGAACATTTAGACAGTGGAGAGAGAAGATTTGGCAAGCAATGGCCAATTTCAAAATAATCTCTTTAAGAGCTGTCAAATGTAAAGGTCAGCAGTAGAAAGGGGTGCTCGGAAAAAGTTTTTAAAACTGTCCTGAGTAAATTAACCATGGGGTATCAAGGATGGGCTGCTGAGGAAAGGAACTCCTGTTTAATTGTGCCTATCATTATTACAGCATGATAGGTTTACTCTAAAGACTTTAAGAAATACATTCTTACTGATAAGAATCATGGAAACTTATCAAGAATTTTCCATGCATGATAGAGAGAACTCTAGAATAATTCTGATATAATTCTGTGACTATTCAGCCAGTCAATTCAATGTGGAAAATATTCTAAATTAAGGATTTAATCTGTTCAATAATAAGGAGAAAAGTTATCACTTGTATAAATGTTGATTTTTCTGTAAAACTTTTCCCACCTCCTTTCAGGCGCAGTGCATCCTAAAACTTCCTATAGGCAAAATTAATTTATTTAAAAGGTTTAAACAAGCAAAAGATGTAATTGTTAAGTGTGTGCTGTTACCATATTTCTTCTTACCCAGAAATGTCACAGCTGAATGAAATGGACTGGTATCCATTTCTGCCAATTTTTCAGGCTTAGCTTTATAAAGAAGCATTTCTAGGCATTCCAAATGTTACTGCTATTCTAAGGCTCTAAACATTCTTTAATATTTCTTTCTTTTATTCAATTTGTTTCTGTCCCTTCTAGTTTCTGTCTCTTCCACCATAACAAACAGAGTCAAGTGTGCTCAATTTGCTTTAACATGATCTAAAAATCACAGATTTCTTTGGCAATGAGAACTATATGTAATCACCACAGCTAAGTGAAAAAGAACACTGCATATCAGTAAGGACATGATTTCAAGAAACTTGCACACCTTAGGGAGGAATCATACAAAGGGAGTTTGAACAATTCATTAAGTCTGATAACATGTCCCATTCATGAAAAATGGATGCAAGTTCAATAACATTCACCGTATGTTCCAAAGACTGCTAAACACATGAAACGCAGGTCTGGATTCATTAAGGAGCTAGCCAGGTATTACCTATTCGATTTTTATAAATTCTTTTTCTCTCTGCCTGGTTAAGTCTCTGATTCAACAAAGCATTTAAGTATGTGCTTATGTGCTTAACTTTAACCAACTGCCAGAATCCCACTGAATGAAGGGCATACCAGTAAACGTTACTTGTTTTCTTGAGAAGAATGGAGTTAAGTATGAGTGTAAGTTATTGGCTAAATCAGGGTTTTAGAGCATGTCTTTGCATTTGCATGAAAGTTAATTGGGAGTAACTTCACTTCAGCTAAATATTATTGGGTATGTGAGATGAAAATTAGGGTCTAAGCCTCTTGTGGCCTGGGAAAAATGCTATTCAATATTTGAATAAAACTGGACTCATGATCCTGACCATGGCAGAGAATCACCATTAACAGAGTTGTTAAGGAAATGGCCCTTCAACACAAATGTAGGTGGATAGAGAGTCATTGTTTCCTTACAAATGCAACTGCACGAACAACTCCAATTTTATTTCCTTATTTGCATTGTTTGGTGGTAAAAAATACAAATCATGTAGTCAGAAAAACTTGTAGACATAGACCCCACAAATCTACCCGGATAGTATGTGCGATCCCATCTATCTGCTTGTCACAAACGCTCGAAATTGTATTTTCAAAAGGAGGAGGAGTGTCATAAATGCTTATTGAAATATTAGGACATGAAGACTTGTGTAAATTGACAGCTGAAAGAGTATTCAAGCTGGAATTTCACAGCCATCTGGGAAGCTCTTTGTGGAGGTGTGTCAGTCAGTACAGATGACTCAAACAATAGTTGTTGCCAACAGAATGGAAGTAATGTGTAGATGAAATTAGATGGAATTAGTTTTGCGAAGACCACTATCTTGTAATTTTGGTGAATTAACAAATTACTAAAAATTGAGGTCAGATCATGGACAGAGGAAATTAAATTAATGTTACATATTACCTCTGCTGAATAGTTTACCCTGCTCTGGATTATTCCACAAATTTCTGGTTAGTTAGTGGATTCATATGCTAAGATTACTGGCTGGGGTACAACAGACACCATATTTTTCCCCACAACATCCAAAATTTGTCTAGATATCAACAAGCAAACAAACAGCCCAACTGACACTTTCCTGAAAGAGCCAAACAAAATCCAACAGAAACTACAGCTATAAAGATAGAGACCTCATGAGTCCAGACCTTCAGTCACGTGCTCCGAAGAGATTGCATTTCAGACTAAAATGAATACAAAGGGTTTATAAGAAAGAAGTGTGTTGCTATGTTAAAAAATAAGCAGTGTGCAAAATTACTACCCTTCCAAAAAAGGGTCATGAAAAATGTTGTCACTGAGAAAAAAATACTACTGGCATTATGATGGCTCTACAATTTCAAATGTATCAGAGGCAGATGCTATGCTATGACAATGCCACATTGCCAACATTATGACTTTTCCCTATCATTCTACTACCTGAGTGATGTCAGTGTAAATTCAGGCACCATTAGTAAATTTTTGACCAAACGTATTCACAGCACTGACAAAGGAGTAAACAACCTTTCAGCTCACCAGCGTATGTAAAAAAAGACACTGACAAAATGGAAAACAATACATTTTTATGATAAATTAATCCTCTTATTTCTGCATTGACCTGAAAAAGAGACGAACTAGACATTATGTACCATCATTCCCTTTTTAGGATTCCTTTTTCTATAATCCATCACTATTTACTTCATAAGTAAGAAAAGAGTGAACCTAAGTAGTCAGGGAAGGATCCTGACAGTCCTCAATGCCTATGTCCCTTACTTTCTCTCTCCCTGCGTTTTAACTCCTCTTTGTAGCAGTATGAACAATAATTTTCAGTTTCAGGACGACCATAAAAGGAACAGTTCTCCTTCTTGCAGCGGTTCTGCTGAATGGAATAAATAGGGCAAACTGTGCTTCTGCCTTGATTTTTATCATTGTTCAACCAGGTCTGAGGTGCCTCCTCATCAGCATATTCTAAGCAGTCTCTAATATCACCGGTATTAAACCCATTTGTATATGTCTGCGACTTATGTTCAGTAGGCATAGTGTAGCTCAGTGATTCCACTGTGTTCACAGTACGGATACCTGCTATCCGGGCTGGGCTATAGCTCTGTGAAGACAGTGATCTATTCTGTTGGGGATACGTGGCACAGGTTTTTAAGGTGCCAACCACTGGCTTATAGGTATCATCTTGGAAGCTTGATGGCTTGGAGTTGACATCATGCAAATGGATAACGCTTTGCCTTTGAACAGGTGGAGTATGGCTATAGTGGGCAGATACTGGAATGGGTCCACTTTTCTTAGCACCATTACTAGGTGAAGAAAATGACCCAGGAGTGGGACTAGTGCGATCTTTAAACTTTAAAACCAGTTGAGTTGTATGGCTTTGAGGCAAGACTGGTGATGCCCTGTCCTGAGGAGATGTTTCCAACTTTTCTTTTGAATATGCTTCTTGTTCCAGCTTCCTGCTGGATGACCCATTGAGTGAAGCCTTTTTCTCAGCCTCCTTTCTCTTCTGTTCCTGCTCTGCATTGAAGCGCTCTTGGGCACTGGTCAAGTAGTAACCTATCATCTCCTCATGGAACTGATGTCTATGGCTGGTCAGTAGGAGGCCAGCAAAAATAAACTTGCGTTCACCTTGCATGGCAGCTCTCAAAATGTTGAGGCTGAGCTTCACATCAGTGCTGTACTTCCATGGGTCAGACTGTTTGTCAGAGAGGGACTTTGAGTTCATTTTTTCAGTGGGTGAGTTGCTTGCTTTGTCAGTAGGAGATGGAGTTGTCTTTTCAGAAGGAGAAGTGCTTGCAGACTGTCCTGACTCCTCCTTGCTCCCTTTGCGGGACTTAGACTTCTTCTCTTTGACTTTGTCTACGATGTCACCATTCTTCCCGTTTCCTGAATTTGCTCTGCTCATCTTGCCATGCACCAGCCCCCCGAGCCCACCCATATTCTTTTTCAGCTTAATTCCTAGGGTTTTACTGAGGCTTCCAAGCTTATTGGCAACTGAATCCGTCCTGTTTTTGTCTTTATCCTTCCTTTGTTTCTCCTTTTCTTTTTCTTTACCATTTTTGCCATTATTGCCATTGGAATTACTACAGATGGAGTCTCGGTCTGAGTCCATTGAATCAGCCAGAGACTGAACATCTTCCCCTGCTGAAGCAGTTGGAGATTCTGGCTGAGCCAAAGGGGCCTGTTGAAGGAAAGTAATTAAAATTAGATACAATTAAATGATTTTGCATAAGGAATAGCTTAACAACAGCAGCAGCAACACCACCTCTGCTTTGATTTTTTTCTTTAGACTAGCAAAAGTCACTGCTTTTTTTTTTGTAAATTTAATTAACCTTTTCATTGTACAGGCCCAACACTGTTCACACTAGTCTTCTGCCTCCCCTGAACAGATGTTGCCAGTCATATTTAACTGTGGGACTCCACTGATGATAAACACCATATATACTAGAAACTCAGCTGAGACCACAAGCTCATTTCATTTGTAACCCCAGGAATAAAAATAAACTTCCAGAGTTAAAAAGAAACCAGACTAACCTGTCTGTATAAACTTTGAAAAAGGGTTCACTCGGTGGATCATTTGCTAAGAGATGCCAAGTGCCATAAGTGCTCTTTGCACTCAAAGACTACAGTGGGTATTGAGTATGTTGAGCATCAAGTCTCACACATCCACCAACATAAACACAAAATATTTAATTAATGAGAATTGCCGAGTAAAATTCACTCCTGTGCAGAGCACTGGAACTGGGCTTATACATCAATTCAGTACTCTAATTAAAGCTTGTGATGACCTTCTGCACAGGGATGGAATTCACAGAGGAAGAGCTGCACCTCTACGGGGGAATTACTATGTGCATCTTGCTTACCTACTCAAAATCAACTCATCCATAGCTAGTTTTTCATGACCTTGGCCGTTCAGAAAAGTGCAACTGAAATGTAGTTACGCTCTCAGTTGAGTGATTTAATATATTATAGCTTGCTGGCTCTCCTTTTCTGATGTAAATAACAGATGCTCATATAAACAACAGAAACAGCTGCAGATCTTTTGAGTTATATATGTACATGCTTATCCTTTATATTACTGAAACACTAAATATTGGAAGCAAGAAATAGTATGATTTAACTTTTATTTCATCAAGCAATAGAGCAGGGGTGGCACTGGGGAGAGTGTTTGCTTTTTTTTGGGGGGGGGGGCTATAGCCACTCCAAAATTCGCCTTAGCACCCCCATAGCCAGTGCTGCCCCTGTCAAAGCCCCCTGCCTCCCCACTGGGCTGCTGCCACTTGCCCTGCACAGCTGAGCCTGCCCCGCTCCTGCCCACAGAGGCAGGGCGCCTTAAGTGGTTATTGTTAAAAAACAAATAAGTATGTTTAGCCAGAAGATGTATAGCACAGCCCCCCCCAATTTTCTGTCTAGTCCACCTCAGTCCCCGGACCGGGAAGAGGCTGGTGCCGCCCCTACACTAGAAGTAAAACTTTGCTGACTTTGAAATCAGTAGGATATTTGCTACAGATTTCTGTTTACCTAGGATTTCTCTTTAGGAGTTTGTTTTTTGAAATGGTTATGAACTTGTTTGAACTTTGCAATGAAGCAATCTCCATCCTTCGCTGTCAAGGAATGAAAAAGCATTGAAAGTTTTTCAGCCACAGCAATGCTAATGGCACTGCAGACAGGTTAACACAGTGGGAAAACAAAGGCATAAATCTGTTAGGAGGGAGGTAATCTCAAAGTAAGTAGACAGACTGCAGGTGGGACTATGGGGATCTGTTACTGCATCGGGTTGTCAGAAACTGTGGGGGATTAACTGGACATGGTAGATGAAAGAGATAAGAAAAAGAGACTTGCTTGCAGTGGGAACTATCAGGGGGTGCTTGGACCAATGAAGAGAACTGAGAAGGAAGGAAATTTGAGGTCAGAGGAGAAGGAACATCATGGACAGGAAAAGGAAGGATCAGGGTCTGAGGGCAAAAGTCATGCCTTGGCTAGCTTGCATTTCTGTTGTGCTCTACTTGACTTGTATTACTTCAAGGGCTTAGAGCACTCCATCACCAAAAAAGAACATAGCAACCAGGTATATTCACAAACTACTAAAGCAGAGCTCAAGAGCCTTGTCAAGCATGAGGACCAAAGGCTGCATCTTCTCCAACATGACATTGCAAAAAGGATACAGAATACATCACTAAATGAGGAACTTTAGTACAACAAGGTAAACAGTAAAGCTCCTTAGTCCTTTTCTGCATTACTGGGGAGCCTCAGCCTAGAACCATTTCCAGGTTGTTACCTGGCTTCTTATTATAGATAGAGTACAAACATCTGCACGCCTTTTGATCACCAGAGATGTTCACCAGGGCACTATGTGACAAGTGAACACCTTTACAGTGCTCCCTTCTATGAAACATATGGATGTTCAATTTTCTCTAGCCCCTTTCCCCTTCCATGATTTCCTGGATCTTTTAAAAACTCTTGCACCCTAAACATGTAAGGGAAACTGTGCAAAAATTTAACTTTTTACACTCTTAAAAACCCTTGCCATTTTCTCCACACTCTCAATTCCTCTCCTCATCCCATCTCTCTGTCACCATCAGCTACCAGAATAACTAACCCCCATTTCATTCCATGTAAGTTGCATAGGAGTGTTGTATGGCTGCTTCCATGTTGGTGCCCTAGGTATGCACCAGCTCCATCCTCCCATAGTGCCAGGCTACCAATTTGGCAACAACTTGTGGCTTTTCAGGCACCTCTTAGTGAAAATGTGAAGCCAGGAGTTTTTAGTGTGTATAAAAGAAATGGGGTCAAATTTGGCTCTTGGTGCTGAAAAAAGGGCAAATGAAGTTCCTGGGACATAACGGGGGAGAGCGGGGGTAAAGTCTAAATAGTTCAGGAGAACATTAAATATGTGAAAGTGAGTCTTAGGCAAGAAGCAAAGAAAAATAATTTCATTATGGTAGAAGAAAAGCTGTTGTAATCTCATCTCTACTGCTCTCTTACCTTTCCACAAGAAGCTGCTTTTCAGCAAGAAGAATTTATTGCAAAAAGGACCAGGCAACTGTTTTATAGAAGGCTTTAAAAAATTAGACAGAAAATGTACATGTCTAATCCCAATCTCACTGAACTACAACAGGCCTTAGGCCTCTTGAATTGTTCCATTCTTCAGGTGGTTGTACAGTTAGGCAAACCCTACATCCTATCCTGTCAGCATATACTTGACTCTAGGCCAGGTGCCTCACGTTGTTTAGACAAATGGAGGTTTACCCGTGTTTCAGATGGTATACGTATCCAAGTTACATTCATGTAGCTGTGCAGAAGATTAAGCTTTGCCTCCAGAGACAGAATCAAACTGAGGAAGAAAAAGAAAGAGGAAAGAAAACAGATAGATTAATTAGTTTAAAAACTTATATCTGAGGAAAGTTGATGCTTATATTTATCAAGAGAGAAGCTGTTCAGAGCAACAGTAACTCATATCACAGTAACAGAATTGAGACCCACCCAGCTTTTTTTTCCCCTCAAATCAAGAGAGAACATGAACAAAGTCCTCTCTATTAGCACATGCCATGATATATGTATATATATATTCTGCAGGTTCAAGACCCTGTACTATTAATCTTAGAGTCATAGTGAGGTCTTACTTGGCCAGTCTGGTGTTATCATTGTCATCTTTCCCCCACTCCCAGTCTTTCCCAGGATCAACCGCAAAGTGCAAAGGCAGTAACTTGTGTTCTGAGTCAGTCAAAGGGATCACCGCTGAAGGAAAGAAGAAATCAGGAGAGAAGAAATGGATTTAGCTGGAAAAAAAAACAGCAGGAGAAGCAATAGACTGAAGGAAAGGGCCAGAAGGGGAACATGATGAAAAAGCATCTAACACTCTAAAAAATCTCTGAAATGCTTATAACTTCAGAAAATCCTCACTAATGAGGCCTTGCAGCCTTCCACATCTGTACCAGAGTCTCAGGCATGGGTAGATTCAGGATTTTGGAAAGGGGGTACAAGAGCAGTGACCTGTGCTGCAGGGGTGGCTACACCCTGGCTCCCAGTCTCCCTGCTGGTGGGTAGAGCATGCTGCAGGAGCAGCGGTCGGAGACTTTTTTTTTTTTTTTTTTTTAACATCCTTCAAGCAGGTAAGGATCTTTCTTCCTTCCTCCCTTCTCATCCATGGTCCATGGCATGTCCTCCCCTGCCATTCTCTCCTTCCTTCCTTAACCACCACTGTCCCTGCTGCTGTTCCCAGCTGACCCAGGAGTGTGGGGACCCTGGAGCCACTCCTGTCCTGCTGCTGCATGTGGAGCCAGAGTCAACTAGAGACAGCAGGGGCAGCAAGCTGATTCCCACCCATTGCATTTGCTCTCAGGCTGGCAGGGATTATAGGGGATCTTCCTGCTGCTACTGCTATCCCTGGCTGAGCCTGGCTCCTAGGAGAGACAGGCTGGAGTGGGCAGGAAGTGCTCTGGAGCTTTCCCTCAATTCCTGCCTCCCAGGGAAGCCAGAGACATCCATGAGCCTGGGAGAAGTGCTGCTGAGGATAGAGGGGAAGGGAGGAGAGTATTTTTGCAATGCGAACATGTGGCAGATCCTTCTTTGTGACAGATTCTGGGTTCCAGGGATCTGCAGTCACTTCTGCTAGAAGAGAGAGGAAGGTATATCTTTTTGTTCCCCAACCTGATTTGCAAATCAGATTCTTACTTGCTTTAGGGACTTAAAAAAAAAAAAAAAGTCCCTGCCTGCTGCTTCTCCATGGTGGTTGACTGAATGGAGGGGTGAACCTATGCCACTGCACTCTACCTGGATCTGCCTCTGGCATCAGGTATTGTATTTGTTGGAAAAATATAGACTGTGTACAATCATACCCAGAGTCTCATAGACACGAATGAGGCAAATGGCATGAGCCAGGATGGAGTAAAAGTTGTTGGATCAGCTTCTTAGGCTGTGTCTACACTAGAGAGTTGTACTGTTTTAACTGTACTGGTAGACTGGTATAGTTAAAGCTGTACCACCCCCTACTGTGCATATACAATTAAACTAGCTAAAAGAGGAAAGGAAGAGGAGTTATATCAATGTAAAAAAAAGTATGTTGCAGCATAACCATGCTCACGTAGGGGTTCTGTCAATAAAATTATGTTTATAACAATATTCAAATCCAGAACCTAAAGAGCTGTGCCTAGATAAATGCCATGTGCAGACCAGGGCTGGCTGCAATTCTGAGCAGGAATCCCAACATTTTGTAATGCACAATGTCTATCTACAGTGATATCCTACATTATAATATTGAAAATAGCTAAAACAAATGACGGTCACTCTAGCAACCAGCTCCACAAGGACAGTAGTTTCGCAAACGGGTCCTCACGTGTGTATATAAAAATGTACGTGTGTGATTCGTGGTTTTCATTTTTCACCCTTAATGTAAAAGTACTGTACGTTGATAAAAGCATTATACATAGAAACAGAAAGGAAAGAACAAGTCAGAAGATTTAGACTCAGGTAAAAAAAACAATTAGGATATTTAAGAGCCTGGAGCACAGCCCACAGCATACATGCAACAGCATATAAATTCAAGGACTGGGTCAGGTCCACTGAGAGGATCAGGTCATCTCTGTTGCTTTCCTACTTTTTGCTAGTTCAAGTTAGCGTTAGTTTCCAACATGAGGTTTGATGGCTCTGCTGTTTATTTAGCAAGACAAAGATAAGTTTTACAGATTTGTATAGGCCTATTTTATATAAAGTAAGTTTTACAGATAAACTGTTTTCTTCATCACCACAAACAAGCCAAGAATAAAGGAACAGAAATCTTAACTAACACTGAAATCTTTCTTCCATTTCATTAAAAAACAGAAAAAGCTGCGGGGTTGGACAGGGACTCTTGTTCCTTAGAATTCTGAAGTTCACTATTGCTCCAGTGACAATCAATCAGGAAACGAGATTTTCCATAACACAGGCATAAATGACTTATTGTGGGTATTCATCCAACCAAAACCAAAGGGCAAAGGAACTCTGAAACTCATGGCAATGAATAATTCAGAGGTTATTACCTGTGCTATAAACAATACTTAACTGTTATTTTCCAGCAGCACAGAAATATATTATCAGCTCTAGGAGATAGAGCTTTTCTGGCTAAGTGCTATTCATTACAGATCAAAACACAGGATATAATCTACCTTTTTAATAATCAAGCTGAAATAACTATAAAAGTGGATATTCCTGATAATGACTGTATTAGAAAATAAGATCAAAGAAGTTTAGTTTTCTACAGAGAAGGTGGGAGTGGAACAACAAAATGCTGTACATTTTTTGTGCAAACACTGCCCCCTACTGACTAGCAAAAAGTACTATTTCTTTGCATTTTTCCAGGTTTCTTTTTGTGCAAAATATGAAAAACTGCAGGATATTAACTAATTTTCACTACAGATGCTGCTATTACGTTCAGGTATGGATCAATGTGTTGCTAGACACTTTCAACTCTTTGAAGAATGTACGTTTGGAAAGCAAGTACAGCATCTGATTTTTCAGTTTAAAATCACAAAAGTTTTGCATTAGTCACCAACTTATTGCTTAATAGAATGTTCCAAAAAGTATCAAAAAACAGCTGGAAGCAATTATTACGCTTGATTATGACCTCCCATGCACCGGGGTAATACAGGGGCTCACTACAGTGATGTAAGTGGAATTACACCAGAGGAACAAAAATGACAGAATAAGTGAAAACAAAACCAAGTCCCTGTGTTGTGAGCATCACTTCAGGTACTAAAAGGAATGTGTAGTCATAATATTTGCTATGCAAATTAAGCTCAGTAAGCAAACATTATGTACTACTTCAGGATTTACTGTGCACCTCACAAACATACTGTATCGTGAGATTACAGGTGCAAAGGAAGAGCCTCCATTAAGGCAAAGATAATTTAATATTCAATCCCAGTGGCATATACTTCTGCCTCAAACCTATGCATGCAAAGGACATGAAGTGTGATTTGATTTACATGGTTTTACCATGAGGCTTGAATCCCAAATCCCTTTATTATTGTCACATGTGTCTTTGGATCTACAAGTTCCCCCCACCCCACAACAAAAAATACAAACTGATAAGAACATGGTAATTTTTTGGGTTTAGCACACCTTCAAGATACTTAAATTATAGTTTCCTTTTAAAGAACAATGACAGGTACTTATTAACGGTTTCATAATATTTTTAAGGAATCCATTAAAACTAGGTGTTCTATTGATATTGAAAATATACAAATTCACGACTTTACTAATAGTAGGATTTTTAAAAAAGCCATTTATAGAAAATAAACTTGATCCTAAATTGTCCCAATAGCGCCACACTAATCTCTCCCTCAGTACAATATTTTAAGTGCTAATATGTTTTTTATCTCCACATATGCACATGGCTTTATTAAGTTCCTTATAGATGGTATTGTTAAAGCCCTGCATTGAGAATATATACTGTAAAGTGACTCTTGTAGGTAGCTTGAGATAGATATGAAGCAATATTATTCTTTTAATGTAAAAATTAATTGCTGAACTCCTGGACTCCATTCTCACTGCAAAGGATTCCCCTCTCTCAAAGGAAAATCACTGTTGTTAATTTATTGTAAGCTCCCCCTCTGCTTCCCATAGAAAAGCTCCCCGTCCACTCCCCATAGAAAAAGAGGCAATTTAAAATTCTAGGACAGACTTCACAGTCATTTCTAAAATGAATAGGGCCCGAATCGGGGACAGTGATTCGATTCGTTGATTTGGATCACTGTCCTGATTTGATTTGGCCAAATTCGAATCTGAAGATTTGGTGCTGATTCGGAGAATCAGCAATTTGGACATAGACACAGCTTTAAATGTGTTTTCTACATACCTCGAGGTACCAGGCGCGACTCGTGAACGCTTCCAATCTGGGGCGGATGGAGCATCCCACAGGAGTGCGGGGGAGCCCCTCCGTGTGAACCTGGAAGTGGACTGGAAGTACTTCTGGGTCTGCCGCTGAGCGTGTGGGGGACCCTCCTGCACCCTCCCGGCTCGGCAATTGGCTGCAGGGGGACCCCGGGTGCCCTTCCAGACTGAGGAGGCGCCAGTCTAGGGGGCGGGGTCCCCCACATGCTCCCCAGCAGATCCAGAAGTGGACCAGAAGTGCTTCTGGTCCACTTCTAGGTCCACTACCAAGCGCTCTGGGGACCCCCACACAGTCCCGTGGGACATTCCATCTGCCCAGGCATCTCAGCATTCACAAGCTGTCTGGTACCTTGAGGTATGTAGAAAAACATTTAAAACTGTGTCTATGTCCGAATCATCGAATCTTTCCAAGTCTCTCTGAATCGATACAGAGGATTCCGATTTGATTCGGAGGGATTAAAGAGTCTCCTGATTCGATTCAGATTTGGAGATTCAGCTGCCAAATCAGGTCAAATCTCTGCTGAATCAAATCAGTGACTGAAGCTTCGCACAGCCCTAGCCTTTGTAGCCTCCAGTTGGCTTACTAACAATACAGCTTGCAATTGGCTGGTGCTCACATACAGTCAAGCATATTTATTAAAAACCATATGCTAGTTAACACAGCCTGAAATAGACTTGACAGATAAAAGTCACTGCAACTATTCCTGAACAACAGCTTTAAAAAATATGGCAAGTGGCTTTTTTCCATTTCACAGTTTGTCATGCTACTTGCACATGGTAGTATGTTTCCAGTCATCTGTCCCGTTGTCTCACAGCCCTTTATATTGGTTTACTTTTAACAGCCACCAAGCAGATTTTCTAGATATTCC